GGCCACGTACTTACACCGTGCGTGTGACGTGCTTTGCCGGTACTCCCTCCCTGCCTTTGCCACTCCCTCCCTACGTTTTCAGAAAACGTGGCGGCCGTGGCCTCCCCAAAAACCGTACGGACTAAAAACACGCACGGTGGGATGTGACCAACGCTTTACACTCGTTATATTATCGTACGTTGCGCACATGGTAAGTGCGTTGTACGTGTTTACAACGGGCTTACAACGTGCTTACAACTTACGGTCTCTGTGCGGTTGCCACGTTATCGTACGGATGCCATAGGTGTGCCCAAGCCTTGAGCCAGTCCGAACAGAGGATTTTTTTTACGTTGGGGACCGGGGGGGGGAATTCAATGAATTATTGATAATTTATAGCATTTTTTAAAAAATTATTTGTGGGAACTGCCCCCTACCCCTAGTTGATAAGCATAGTAGCATACACATGCTTTAGCAGTCACGCAAAATTAACACTGGCAAATTATAGGATTTCCTGGCCAAATTTGCGAGTTTGTCATTCAAATTAATTTGTCTTGCGTTCAAATTCGACGGTTTTAGTGCAGTCAGGTATATCTCGCGTTTATATTCCCTTTTCTAGTTTTTAAATCTATGGAATTTTCGTTAGAATCTACGTATGTTTTATTCAAATTAATGAACAATGTGCTTCTTTCGCTATTTAGTCATTCGATTTGGCGCAACACGATTTTCTGACAACGCGACGGTGTACTTCAAGCATTCTAATTCATTTGTAGCATTCAAATCAGCACTTTGTGCACTTAAGTGATGGTCAATATACATTTCTCGTTTATTACACACTTTTTATAGTATACTTCTTTTCCTTCAAGATTGTTTTTTCATGTGTATTTCATCATATTTCATTTTCTTGCATTTATACACTTTATATACTTACATTTATCTGATATTCATCAGCATCTAAGTTTGATAGTTAAGAAGAAAAAAACGACTTGCATCTACGGACCTGATGGTCTCAATATATTTGTAAATGTTCATGTAAGGAAGTTGTTTGTCTTATGTTTCATTATAAATTTATCATAATTTCATCATAATTTCATTATGGAAGAAGGGTACAATATTGTGACTGGGTTAGGGACTAGAGTCAACAATTTGAACATGATTCATTATTTAGCCAAGTCTTTAGCCATCGATCTGCTGACGGGCAAGTAAACTATGAAACTCTTTAAGAAAAACAGAGGGGTGTAATGGGTATAAGAGACGACGTGAATTACTTTTTGTAAAATTCCGATTCTGTAGTAAAAAGGGGCGATTGAGGGTACCCCCACCTTTCCCGGTATATGAACATGTCCGTGCAGAAATGCCATAGGCTTGATTTTGCCCCTTCTTTACTTTATGTCTGACTACACCCATCTGCATTGTCCTGAAAATAAATAAATGAAATAACAGCTTAGACCCCAATGGCAAATCATGCATTTTAACTGCATTATTTAAAAACTGTAAAAGTTTGTTGCAATTCTTCGCCCCAACATTCCTAACTTATACGAATACGAATGACAGGTGTTAATTTGAATGATAAAAATTACGCTTCGACAAGTAAATATTAATTTGAATGCTAGTTGAGCAGTTTCTAAATTGAATGACAGATCTATGAAACCCTTCGACCAAAATCCTAAATTAAATACAAAAACTGGAAAATTGAATGATAATTGGCATGGCAAAGCCTATCTGCGCTAACTTAAATGCAAAATAAATGAAATCGACAAACACGCGAATTTGGCCGGGAAATCCTATATTATTCAATAAAATCTGAGAATGTATACTATTATCTAGATCTATTAGGAATAAATCATTGTCACAATAATTCCATATTGGGGTAAACAAAATATTCCAACAATATGAGCGACAGTGTGTATATATATATAGGTTTTTGCGGCCAATTTCACACTTTCTACATTCAAGCTCATATTCCGAGCATTCGAATTAGCACTCATAGCACTTGCAGCGTCGAATCAGCTTTCAAATTCAAAATCCGTCATTCAAATTTACTATTCGTGCAATCAATTGTTAATCGGGTCATTTAATAGTTTACTAAAAGCGTACGTTTCATGCAAAGAGCATTCAAATTCAGCTAATGCCGGCTACAATACCTCGTTGTTTATTCAAATTCGTGAATGAGCGAGCATGTTTGAAATAAATACTTTCAATTTCATTTTTTTTTTTTTTGGTTAAATCTTGTATTGCGTTTAGTTTCTTTGGGGTCTTTAAGAAGCTTTTTTTTGCTCAGTTTGTGAATAAGGTAGGCTTCATTATCATGACATTTGCATTATCTTTGCTCTTTCTAATTTGTAAACTCTCTCAACTAACAAAATGTTAAACACATGAATATAAAACTTGCCGTATAACTCATGGCCCACACACACACATAATAAAAAGCTGTATTCAGTGTATATGAAAACTGCAGGAAAAAGCCTAAGAAATGTGATCGAATCGTTTGTGAAGTGTCATCATTACGAAAAGCTCTCGTTAAAACTATACCCCACCACTATAGCACAGCAGTCAATGTAATCTGGTGGGGTAGCACTACCCCAGATTCGTTTCTCTCGTTAAAACTTTGTAATCTGGTGGGGTAGCAATACCCCAGTTTCGTTTCTCTCGTTAAAACTTTGAGAGAGCTACTACTATTACACAGGCACCGATGGGAATCTGATGGGGTCTCACTACCCCACTTTCAATTCTCTCGTTAAAAACTTGGACAGAGCCTTGAGGCTCTGAGTGAGAGATTAAGATATTGGATTGCAGCTGGACTCTACATCATCTTACGTAATACTAGTGTAAACAAACTCTTACTGGGGTCTGCCTGAAAGGAAATGGGAAGTAGGAAATAAGTATTTTACTTGTTTTAAGATATTTTTATGTCCTAAAGTCACTAATAATTTAGATGAAGACCAAAATGAAAGTTCGAACGAAGCAAAATGACCCATAATTGGCGATATAACAACAATTTTAACTCTGGCAGCGAACCCCTGCATGTGTCTCTTTCTCCCTTCTCCCTTCCTTTCCCCTTGTATCATGCTTATCTCTCTCTCGCTATCACCTCATCAAGGTCTCGGTGGGGGTGGATTACAGCGCTAGTGTTTACTTAGGGCTTATCACAATCTCAGCTCTAGTACAAGTAGAAATGGTGAAAGTCAAATGGGGGTTTCAATTTTAAACGACGAGTTTTCGTCATGATAGTACTGGATCCAAAATGACACTTGGTTACATATCCCTTTCAAAAAGATTGAACAAATATCACACTTTTTGTGGCATATTCAAAATATATAAATGTACATACCAAGACATGCCTAGGATGAGAACATTTCAAAGTTTTTTTAATTTTGTGGTGGACTTGGTGTTATGTCTAAGTATTTTAATGATCTTAGGATGGGTGAAGTATACTTGTTCTCGTAGGGGGTGTTATCCGTGTTTAATAATCTGTGATTTCATCAGCCAAGTGTTACTTTATAGGATTTATTTGGATTCATAGGTGACTAATATTCAGCTTATCATATCTCATAAGGCCTACAAAAAAGAGGTAATATATATATATTATATATATTAAGAAAAATTGGGGGCCGGTAAAAGAGCACCATTTTTTTTTTTTTTTTTTTTTTTTTTTTTTTGGGGGGGGGGAATTGGAAATTTTTGCCTTCCGATATTTCGTTCAGTAGGGGGGGGGTGGGTGAGGTCAGTTTTTTTGGTCACATTTAGCACAATAACAATTTTTTATTAACAAAAAATGAAGGGGTTCCTACAAAGCACACATATAAAAAGAATTGAGGGGGGTTCGACGCCAACCCCCCCCCCCCCCCCCCCCCCCCCCCCCGCTGCGTACGCGCCTGATGTCATGTATGTCCTATCTGTGAAATTTAAACGTTAGCAGTTTCATAATATTCAAATTATGCAAGGAAACCCGTTTACTTGCTAGACTTCACTGTCAGGCATTATTGAGTGACTGACTGGCTTTTTTCTTCTTTGGTAATAACATACATAAAATGAGCTGTAAAGGGTACATGAGCATTTGTCTAATTCAATAACCCACTTCTTGTAATGGCCGAAATTAAACTAATTGAATCTCTGCGCAGCATAAAACGTACGACCATTTGGTACAATGGTCTGAAAATCAGACTATTACTTACTGGCTCTATAGCTCCTAAGTCGATAAAGACAACTAGGCCTAATAGTCGTTTTTTTCCCACTTAAAGATATTTTTTAAGGCCCCCCCCCCCCATTATTTTTTAGGGAAGTTTAAATTATTATTAATTTCAAAATGCCGTTGGAATTTAGTCTTTTAATTTTTGTTGACCTGCAAATGGGTCATAGGCCTAGTACCATTAAATTGAATGCACGTAGTAGGAAATTTATCCCCAAAAGTGAAATTGAATGCCTCATTACAGTCTCTTCGCAAGCGCCGCGTTAATTTGAACGCACGAATTAGGAAATTGTGCGCCGATTCGTGAATTTGAGTACCGATAAATAAAATTGATGCACAGATTTTTACTTTGAATGCCTGAATTCACCTGCGAGTGACATCTATGTAAATTTTGAATGCACGCTCATGAATTTGAATGAAAACATTTCGAAATTGGCCGCAAAAACATATTCATATTTGGACACAGAAAGAAAAAACAAAAACGTGATTTTGTTATTCTTGCCAAAATACCGGGAATAAGACAAGGAGTGTTTGCCACGCGCACTTTTCATACCAAAAATGTCATTTTTTGCTTTAAAAAATCGTTATCTAGTTTGCCCGAGTATGTCTTAGCTTATAATTAAAAAACCTTCCAATTGGTATACTTTTTATTACAGTATATCTGTTAAGCGCTTAGAGACATTTGTATTAAGCGCTATATAAGCGGAATATTTTTATTATAATTATGAGTTTGAAATGATGAACCGGTTTAATATACATTTGAATGTTGGATATAATCCACGCATTTTCAAATTTCAATTCTAGCTCTAGAAAACAAATAGACAAGCTTTCTTACTGCAGTAGGAGGGTTTACAAACTTGAGCAGAGATGAATACTGCAATCATCCACAACTGCGACATAGTAGGTCTATCCATTTTCAGGATGAAGCTTGCTAGGTCCCTTCAAAAGAAAGACAAAAACATATACAGAATGTTGGTAGCCTATAAAGTGTGATATTAAATTACTTAACTAATTAACTTACCTGTTGTGGCTTACAAAATGTTGCTGAATGCGAAATTCCTAATGACACTAGTGATCTAAAAGTTACGATTCATCAACAGATGATCGATACCCTCATGACTCCCTAATGATTTTTTTTTTTTTTTTTTTGAAATAAATCTTTATTCAGGTAAAATCATGGATAACATCATAGTACATAAATATTCATAACAAATCACTGAATTACATGTCTAAATGAGGTCAAATCAAATTATATTTCTATTTACTTAATAGCAGATTTTAAATTAGTTATAGTTTCCTTCCACTTAATAATATTCAAATTCGTTGTTTTAGTTCTGTTTTCCTCAACTTCTATTTTGTATTCTAACATAAACAAAAAATATTTGCTTATTATTCTCGTCACTACATTTTTATTAAATTGATTTCCAACACTCGCTTTATAGATTGCAAATAAAGCATAATGAAGTATTAGATCAATATCTATAACATTTTCTTTTGCGTCATGAAAACCATATACAACACAAATGGGTGAGAATTTAAAATCTTTACAGAAGGAGTTACATAATAGTATTTCGATAACGTTCCAAAATCGGTAAATATTTTCGCATTCAAAAAATACATGTATAATAGTATCAGGTTTATTACAGTAATAACACAAATTGTTTTCTTTGATTTTCCATTTGAATAAATTAACAGGTGTTGGTAAAATATTATACATAAATTTAAAGTTGAATTGTATCAAATAATTATCACGAGCATATTTCAATTTAAATAACCATAAAGAGTCCCACTTTATAGTAACATTTGTTTGTAAGGTTTTGTTCCAGAAGTCTACCGCCCTAGATGGTTTTTGGATTAATTTTATGAGTTCCGTATATACTTTTTTCACATATAGAGTAATAGAGTGTATTGAAAATTCAAAACTATTTAAATTCAAATTAGAGTATATAACTAATTTACGTTTGTAATCGTTGAAATCATAAACTTGTTCGCCATATTTTATGATTCGCCTCCATCTTTGTTGTATTGCGGTTCTTATTTTTGCATATTCACTCAACCATCTACCATCATAATAGATAAGTTTATCTTTCAATTCTTTGACTGTCAAAAATCTATTTCCTATCACTATATCCCCTAAAAATAATATACCCGATTTTATCCAATTTTTATACAACAATGCTTTTCCTTTAAATTTGATATCACAATTTAACCAAATCATTTCTTTTGTAACACTTCCATAGGTGTGGTGTATATCTTTTACATAATTAACTTGCTTTACAGTAAACCATGTACAAAGTAAGTCACAATAAAAATCAGGTATTTTCCCTCTATAAGAAGTCACATATTTTGGTAAACATTTACAGTTCATAATAATATCAATCCCTCCCAGTTTTTCAATCCAATACTCAAAAAAAATTATCCACTTCCCTTTCTTTTCTTGGATTTCTTTAAAACTTAAGAAGCTAAACAACCATTTTATTTGTAAAGACATAAATTGCGTACACATGTCGACCATATTCATGCCTCCGTTTTGAAGAGTATTTATCATGTTTTCTTTTTTCACTTTTGCTCTATTACCCCATAAAAAGTTATAAAATAACTTTTCATACGCTTTTATCCATTCCATAGGGCATGATAAAACTTGGGCTGTATAAATCAATTTTGAAATAACAAGGCTTTTTAAGATAATTACTTTCCCTTTAAATGTCAAGTTCCTCCGTTTCCAAGAATTTAAAAGCTGTTGTATTTTAATGAATCTTTCTTGAGACCAATTCATATTCACACTCAAAGATTTATTCTTACTGAAGTATATACCCAGAGATTTAACAACAGTATCACACCAACTTATATTCTTTATTGTCTCTGAAGGAGGAGTTTTGCCCAACCATATAGCTTTAGTTTTATTCGTATTTAAATGTATTCCTGATACCCTTTCAAAATTTTCAATCACATTTATTACCTTCCTTCCAGATTCAACGTCTTGTACAAAAATTGTCATATCATCAGCCAGTTGAGCTACCTTAATTTCTGTTATGTGTCTTCCGATAGTAATACCTTTAATATTTACATTCTGTCTTATTTTGTTGCTTAAAACTTCGACACTCAGGATAAAAAGTAGGGCAGACAGGGGACAACCTTGCCTTATGCCTCTAGATGGTTTAATATTACCAGTAAACCATCCATTTACTGTAACTGATAAGCTTGGATTTGAATATAACAATCCAATCCATTGCCGAAAGGATTGCCTAAAACCATATAACTGCAAACACTTGTCAATGTATATCCATTCCAACGAGTCGAAAGCTTTTCTAAGATCTGTGAAAATAATTGCCCCATCTTTAGCCGTTAAATGATGGTAATCAACCACGTCTTGAACTAGTCTAGCATTATAAATACCGCTTCTACCCTTTAAATAGCCTACTTGATCTTCATTAATAATGTCTGCTAACACATTTTGTAACCTTTTGGTCAAAACCATCGCTAATATCTTGTAGTCTATATTTAAAAGAGTTATTGGTCTCCCATTGTCAAGTTCCTGTTTATCTCCACCTTTAAACAATAAAGTAATAACGCCTTTCCTTTGTGAATAACTTAAGTGTCCTTTCTCAAAAGACTCGTTCAAACTATGAAGAACCAGATCATTTACTTCTGACCAAAATTCTTTATAAAATTCTACGCTTAAACCGTCGAGCCCTGGTGCTTTATTGGGTTTCATACTTGTTATCGCTTCAGTAATCTCTTCCATTGTAACGAGCCCTTCGCATGCATCTGCTTCGTGTCTATTTAGACGTGGTATTTCTACTTCTGTCATGTATGAATCTATTAATTCTTCATTACACTCATTTGACCTATAGAGTCTTGAGTAAAACTTCTCAATAAACTTTAAGATTTTGTCCTTGTCGTACTCCAACTTTCCCCCAATGCTTAAACAAGAGATTGATCGTTTTGCACCGTTTCTTGTTTCTAAGCCTAAAAAATATTTGGAATTACTTTCCCCTTCTTCAAACAGAGTTACCCTTGCTCTAACTCTAGCACCATCACATAAATATTTGTAATACGCATTTAATTCCATTTTTACACTAGTCAACTCTTCTTCTCGTTCTTTTCTTCCGTTGCATACTTGATCGTGCAATCTTTCAAATTTCTTTTCTAACTCAAATAAGACTTTCCTTTCGTTAAATTTCATTTTTTTGGAAAACATAATAGTATAATCACGAATCTTTAATTTACACATGTCCCACACAAACTGCGAACCAGTGTCAGACTCTGTCCTATGTTCAAATGTCACGTTCCAATTTTATATTCCTCATTCTTTAACAAGGAGTTGTTAAACTTCCAATACGATGATCCTCTGGAGACGCCAGATATCATAATCTCTATGGTAATAGCACAATGATCTGGACACATAGATATGGGTTTTATACATGTGCGCTGTACAAATTCCTTAAAGGTACTTTGCACTATCCAAAAGTCAATTCTCGACGCCATGTTTAAATGAGTATTTAGATATGTAAATTGTTTTATATCTCTATGCATTTTTCTCCAAATATCAATCACTCCCCAATGATAATAATAACAATGATAAATATTACCAACGTTATCACAAATAGCAACAGTGAGGTAGGCCTAGTTGCATACGACAATTACAAAATCAATATCAGGAAAATTACTTAATTCACAAAGTCGAATTCTCCTGTCGGATGGCCTCTGAAAAGTACAGTCGCTATGACCTGTGAGTCGTCAATGATATTGAACGACGCTTCGTCATTTGACAATAAATCATCATGCGATTTTAGTGATGCGTCGCATCCTTGTCCTGAAAGAATACTTAATGAATCCCACCCTTGAAGTATGCAAAAGATTACAATATCGTTGTAAATTTAACACTCTAATATGGCGTCGCAATCATACAATTTGGTATTTTGTCTCACATTCCGTCGGAATTGGTTCGTAGGCAAAATCGTTCGTATGGATAACAGTCCACTTATTAGAAGATGAGGCAGATACTAACAAAATGATTGGTTGAGAGCGGGCACGTGACCAGGCATTTATTTTGCCTAAGACGTAATTTTATTTATGAACGGTCATTGGCACATCAGTTTATGATGGATGATCCTGTTGATAAAGGTAAGACTAAAATCTAAACATTAAAACAAAAACTAGAAATAAGCCATATCTAGGCCAAGGTCTAGAAGTCTAGTAGAGTCTAGGCTTAGGGCTAGTAGTAGGTCTAACAGTAGATCTAACAGTAACAATACATCTAACACTAGTAGTAGATATAGATCTAGTCTAATAAAGTTGGATCTACTAACGTTAGATCTAGATCATAGATTTAGACCTGAAGTAATGAATGGACTTTGAGACGAGGGTGATGTATCAAATAACAAGGAACCACATCATCATTTTATAAAACAAATAATCATCATTTTTGTTCGGGCATTAGTAAGATGATCCACACTCGGTACCTTCGAAACTATATTATTCATATATTGGTCAACTGGGATGAGATACAGAAACCGGGCAGATAAAGAATTAGATAGAAAGAGAGAGAGAGAGAGAGAGAGAGAGATAGAGAGGGAGAGAGAGAGAGAGAGGTAGACAAGACAAGATGAATATAGGGAGTTTATGTTGCTCGCGGCGGAATAGGAAGTGATGGCAGGTATAATTTATGAAACATATCATGTTCTGATAGTATAGGAATAGAGACAGAGAGAAGAAACTGGCATAAATTTGGAATATGCACTGTTTTACTTATAATATCAACTTAGTTGAAGACAAATGCGTTTTGAACTGACCGATAATTATCTAGATTCTAATACTGTTTCGTTGACGATCAGCCATGCATGAAGTCTTCCGTCTTCTTTGTTTGTTGTCAAGGCAGGCAGGCCAGTGGAAAGGATTCGTTTAATAAAATTATATAATTGCAAGCATTACT